CTCGAAAACCCAAAGTTCACTAGAACCTATGCAGCTCAGAACCCCAAACAGCAAATGCCTGAAGCCCTGAGGCCCTAGACATACAACCATCTAACAACCCTACACCAAGCCTTTCATTTTTTTTTCAGTTCGATCTGGATACTTTTAATACACACCCTTTGAACACCATGTTCGCAACTCAATCCCTACTGCCATGAAACGGGCCTGAATTACCAGAACGGATTGTGGGAGCGTATTACGGTGCCTTGATGTACGGACGATAAGGGGACGGTGTTACTGAATTCTTGAGAACGGAGTAGAGATGGAAGCTTTAGTAAACCCAGGAGGTCCTGAGGACCTAATCAGGATCCCATATACTCCACGTGTTAGAAGGGGCCCCCACCCTGTAATAGTGGTCCAGTAAAATAGGGCCCTAATATAATCCTTATAGTCACTATTACAGGGTCGGGGCCCCTTCTACTCCATGTACCTTAGAAGGTAAGCAAACTAAAACCTACATTTTTCAAAGATCCCAGCAACAGAACTCACACTCCACAAAAAAACTAACAAAATAACAACAAGTCCCCAAGAGGCTTAAGGCCCAGGCCCGAACCCTTTTTGCAACTGGGCTTGGGGACTAGCCAGATCCAGATATGAACCTTAAACCCTTATAACTTAATATATAGGGCCTTGGGCTATAATATATACCGTAGTCATAGAAAGGAACCACCAAAATAGTACAGGTAGTTATTTACCCCCCCCCCCCAATGTACTAAACCCTTGGACAAGGCAGGAGACCCAGTGAGCTTTGGTGCCAGCTCAGGCTGCACTTGCTCCACCTTGGTAATGTAGGTGCCTTAATAACTAGACTGGGGTTTTGTGCTTCTTTGTCATTTAGATATAAAAAGGAACTCAAAGGAATAATAGTGGTAATTATTTACGCTTCTGTGGTATCAAGGAGCTTTGCCGCTTCTCTATATGTTTCAACGAGTCGCTGTGGGGTTTTGTCTGCGGCTCGCAGATTTTATGGGTTGTACCCCGTGGTATTAAGGGCACCTTGGTGATATCCCGTCGTGCCACTCCAGATAATCGATACATGCGCTGTCCGGTCCCGCAGCTTCGCTAAATAGCCGTGTATTAACACCATTTGCAACCTTTCACGAAACTCTAAGACTCTGTAAGTTATTAAGGGCCTTAAACAGTAGGGGCAGAGTTTGTTGAGTGGGCCGTATATCATAGGATATAGAGAGACGAGTGCTATGTAACTATAGGGGGATCTAGGATATCACCTTGCTCTACGGAGGTGTCATTGAGGGGTGCGCTGCTGAGAGTGTCAGCAAAAAACATCTTAAACCGTGACTGTAGCCCAGAAGACCTACCTTAACCTTCGATGGTAAGCTCCGAAAACCTACGCCGTTACTTTTCCAAAACATCCCTGGAAGCTCCCAAACTCGTACATTCCAGACACAATGGAACAAGCCACATTTCACAAACTTTTGGTCCCATGTAGGCTTTACACCCAAGTACCAAACTTTCGGATCCAACATCTTCAGAGCCCTACCAGTACCGCAACATGAACCCATTCTTCTACATATCCACCAATCGTACTATCAAGGCTTTGGTTTAGACTGAGCCGCAGAATATAACCCGAAACCCTAGAGCCAAGCAGAACCTGGTTTAAGTTGCATCGTGGCGAGTCTGTACTGTGATCCATCCATGTCTCTGCATGTCGTGCACACGTGTATGTTTCATATGTATGTACATATATGTATGTGTATATACATATATATATATATACATGTATATATATATATATATATATACATATGTACATATATTTATATGTGTATATATTCCACATAATAACGTATATACGAATATGCATACGCAACGCAGTGCCTCAACAAGCACATTGCAAAAGCTCTGCACTTCAACCGCAGGGGTCTGAAGCATGATCGTCCTGGTCTCAAGCCAAACCCTCCGGTGTGACAAAAAAAACTGTTTATTACAAAGACTTTAATCCAAAAAGTGGCTGCAGCCTGAAGTCCAAGATATCAAAAACTCTTAAACCTCAAGTTCAGAAGCTTGACAGCTGAGTTGCAACAGCAAAAAGCGCATTTCCAAGCTCGTGGGACATGATTGGCAGCCGTGGTTGCCAGGCAACCGGCGCGAAAACTAAGCTGTTGGCTGTCTTCACGGTTGAGGTTTCAGGAATTGCCAGGATATGTAGGTGTACTGAGTGTTGTACTATCGTACAAACTGTGCAGTGATGGTGGAGGAAGGGTTTTGCTAATGTAAAAACAGGTTCCTGTTTCAGACGCGAAAACTGTAGGACTGCTCCCTTGAATTGCAGTGGCGTGTGGGGTCTTGGTCTGTTAAAGAGCCTTCAGGTGTGTCCACTACAAAGCGGCCAATGCCATTGCGAGTGACGAAACCTTAACCTGCCCTCAGCTCGAAAGAACACACATCGAAGGCTCCGCCTAGGGCAGCTGTGACTTTGCTACGTGCTTCTGGTTTCAATATGTAAAGGGTCACTGCAGTACATCCCAAAACGCGTAGGGGGAGAGAGGGTGTTCTACAGTCCTGCCGTCATGTTTCTTGCTAGTTTCCCTGCGCAATACCGGGAAGACTATGCGAGCCCTGCCTAAACACTTAGGCCCTACACCCTTTTTCTTGGGTCAAGCTGAAGGCTGGATGATCCGAAGGCCCTGGGAAAATCGCAAACGAAGCTGGGAGCCCACAGAGCAGCGGGTTCAGGCTTTAGGGTTTCAGTGTAGGAGAATTAAAATAGACCTGAGGCTCTAAGGACTTGAGGTTTGAGGCTCTTCCACTCGGAGATCCTACTGTACAAGGATATCTTGAGCCTCAGAGTGAGATAGTTTTCTGTTTCCAGCAACTTAGGGTATCCGCACGGGTTTACGGCTCAGCTTCATTCTTCTGTGTATGTGTTTGTTTCTGAAGGGGGTGAGGGGTGCAGGGGTGAGGGTATGGGATTTCCATGTTTCGCGATCTACCGCTTCGGATCTACGTGGAGGATTCCTGGTTTCCCATGCGGGCCGTGCTGGCGAGGGCTTCGGGGTTGTTGGTCTGGCTCTCCAGGACAGGGTTCAGGGTTTGGGGTTTCGGGAATTGCGTTGTCCGAATCCGTATGCTTACATAAGAACATCATCATTTAAAGCTGAAGAAGTCACGAAGCTGAAGTGGTGCCGGGGCAGGGCATACTGCTTCTACAGGGCTTGAAGGACCGCCATTGCAGAACTCTTGAGGCACCCATTACATGCCAATCACATCACAGGGAATGAGAAGATGACGCATTGTGAGGCTGATGGTGCATTCCCTACTGGACGACTGCCGGGACCCTTCGTGCGATTCCTACCTGTTGAAATTACACACCCTACCGAACCTCTAGGCATAAACCCCGTCCTAAAACCCTGGACTCAAAAGTCCTACATCCAAGCCTTTTCACATCTGGACTACGCATATGCCAGGAACTGAGGCGCCGACTGTGCTGTTACATCCAATGAGCCTAAACCCTAAACCCTAAACCCTAAACCCAAGCCTAAGCCCTAAACCTAAGCCTAAACCCAATCGCTAAAGCTCTATGGCTCTGCACCCGAGCATGCAACTGTAAAGACGCGCCTTGGCTCGCCACAACATCAGATGGGCATCGAAGCACTATGCAACACATAATATAGGGGCTTACGTAGTTTCCTATAATTCACAGGGCTCTTTGAGGGATCTACAGTAGGGTTCTACGATATAGGAGCCTTAAGCTTAATTATTACCCATCCTATTTTGGGGTTCCTTATTATGGTTATATAGCATAAAGGGCCCCAAAACCCTGTTCTAATTATTGAGGCCCCTATATGAGTTTAACGAGATGAGGAGGTTCAGGGAGCCCGACTTTGGGGTTTGAGGGGGTTCCGGCTTTCGGCAAGGAGCCCCTGAACCTTCGACTGACATTTGAGATGCTATGCTATACCACAGATCGTAAAGATCACTGCTTACACGCCGAGACCCTAAATACTCCCTAAATCCTGCAAAAGGTTTCAGGCTCGCGTCTGGACTTGGGAGATATTTCTTGCCCTGACCTTTAATCCGTAAACCCTGCACCACGAGTCTCTGATGCATTTACAGCTCTTCCCTTCCCTCGCATTGATTGAGCCTCTCGGCGACACGAGCGCGCGACGGGTGACGGGAATAGGGTCTCTAAGCCCTACACCATACATCCTAAACCCTAAAGCAAAGAGGCATATCCCGATATCCCGGCCTAAACACCTGCACCCTAGATCCTAAATTAGGTCAGGACCGGGGATCTTTCAAGGAAAACCTGGCAGTTGCACACTGAAAACAGCTCCGTAGGAAGGCTAAAGAAAAACCACATGCTTGCCCAATTACTACTTAGTGTTTAATTGAACGATGAACGCTGAAACAAGTGAGCCAAAGCCCAAAGCCCAAGTCTACAAAGCTCGCGCCACGTGTATCTTCCTTTTCTCCTCGCGCTCGCCCTGCTGCGTACTGGACCCCTTGAAATTCGAACCGTCGGTAACCCCAAACCCAAAACCCTGAACCCTAAACCCCAGGTAATAGCGGCCTTAGGGCGTCTTGGGGTAAGATGCTCAATCCGGTCTAACCATGAAACGGTTATCCCTCGGTGACTGTAACCAAGTACCAGTCTTACGAGACATTGCTGCAATGTACAAAATGACGAGTAGGTCATCCAAAGTGAACCTATACCCAATCCCAGCCGCTTTAGAATCACATTTGCCACAAAGACTAGAGCCACGACGTCCTGACCAGCAGCCCTAAATCTTCAAACCCAGGAAGCTAACCACGGAAATCTTAAACTGTCTACACTTATATACAGTGTTTTGGATTCAGGGATTTAAGATGCTTTGGGGTTGCATCCCGTCACAGCCTCGCAGCCGGAGTTTCTTCAACTACTTCTGGGCTGGGGACGTCTACCTCCCTGAAACCCTAAACTCTCTGGGACCTAAGCCTAAACCCTAACCGCTAAGTCCTCAACTACGTTCTTGCAGGCCCTTCCGGTGGGACTCCAAACGATCGGTTTCCATTCGTTTCAGGCGCTCAATGTCCGGGTCCTCCCAGGGAAAGCAAAATATGGGGGACCTTGAGGGTTTTTTTGACACTCACTCTCGGACAAGCCTGGCAAGGTCTGCAGAAGTAGGTACGATAGATTCGCTCAGAAAGTACTTAAGGTTTAGGGTTTTAGGGTTTAGGGTTGCTTTTTGGAGGCATAGTGCTATTGTTGTAAGAAGGAACCCTAGGGAGTTCTGCGGAAATTCAAGCCGAGATGAAATGATCAAAGGAGCGAGGGGTCTGGTGTTAGGGGCTGTTTTGGTATGTTCTACCAGCGAATCTTACAGCCAGCACCCTGAACCCTTGACCTAAACTCTGAACTGAACCGTACTTGAGCTGAAAGCCTCAGGCGGTTTGGGCCTCGGGTTTCAGGATTTTGGGAGTAGGGGGAGGGCCACAGGGTAATCTTTTGCTTGTTGCACTTGGGTTTCCACACTCACACTTGCAGGCCCTAAAGCTCTAAACCCACAGCCAAAAAAATCCTAAGCCATGCGACCTGATTTAGTGATCAGGGGGTCCACATTGGGTGGGGTGTCGGGGTGTCGAGAGTGGGGGGGGGGGGGGGGGGGGTATGCAGGAAATGAGGTGGAAACTATTATTGGGGGATTCTATAGGGCCTACAAAAGGGAAGCACCAGACAGGAGTCGGGGATTGAGCTTATAACGGTTCGGAGCCTCCCGGCTTAGGGAGTTTAGGAGACTTGCATTGGGAAGGGGAGGTTGACGAACTGAAATTGGGGCTTATACGGGTGTCTGCCATTTTTGGACCGACGCCTCAAGATTGCAAAGACCCGAGGTATCTCGAATACAAACCTCACAGCCAGGAACAGTAAAGATTTGACGGTGTCAGGTGTCCATGATCCCTCAACAAACCTCCCCAAATCGGACACCAGTTTCTCCGGCATCTGTCTCCCATTGCTGGCACCCCCTAGTAGGGTTCGTTCGCTCTGTAGTGTCATTGAGCAAACGCAGGAGTGCAGACGCAAGCACATACTTGCGTGCAGACTGCCTGCGACCTGGCTGGACCCGGGACAACTAATGTAGGGGTACTAATAATTAGAATAGGGTTTGGGGGCACTTGATGATACTTGAAGTAAACTACACTCCCAAACCCTATTCTAATTACAACGGCCCCCATATTAAGACCCAGCGCGACTTTGACATCGACGAGCGCTGACAGCAAATCCCCACTCTTCAAACCCATTGAAACCTTGACTCGAAGTACAACTGCCCATGGTCCAAGCCTACCTTAAGCCGGAAGAACCTACCTTTTTAGGGTTCCTTATTGTGATTTCCTTATATAAGTCCTTAAAAAGGTAGGTTATTCCGGCTCAAGGTACGGCCTACAACCCTTTACTGCAATCATAATTCCCACATCCAAAGTTCAGACCAGGGAGCATAGCCTTGACTTGGGGGATTTTGGGGGGCCTCCCGAACCCCCAAAACTTGCAACCGTCTCAGAGATGAAAACTTAGGTTCAAGGGCCTAATATAGGGGCCTTAATGATTAGAATACGGGTTCGGGGCCATTAGACTAGAACTATAATAAGGAACCACCAAAACAGTATAGGAAATTATGAAGGCTCCCATTTTTAGGTCTTGCCAGGGAGGAGGTCTCCTTTCGGAGGCATGCACCCGCAGGTGAGCTGTTGCTTTCTGTCACCTACGAATTTCTTTCCAAAGACCTCTACCAAGTCGTGAACAAATACCATGGCAGCCTTCACCCCTCTGGGGACACTAAACCGAGGCTTTTGTCCTAAGGCCATGCCTGGAAAGCTAAGCTGCCTATCCCAAATGCTACATGCAATCGCAACCCTAAGTGGGCCTGTTCACCCACATAAACCCAGAGGCTCCATATATAGTACCATTATGGAATTAGGTCTCAAAAGACCATCCATATCATGGCTTTGGGGACCTAATTCCATAATGGTACTGTATCTGGAGCCTTTAGGAAAGCCATAAAAAACTAAGGTTCAAATTAATGTTTGGTCTAGGTGCTGCCTAGCTTGCTACACCCTTGTTCTGCACATCCTGGAGGTCTGCTTCTACACTCGCTCCGGGCAGCGGGGGCTTTACAATAAATGCATAAACAATGGAATATATACATATATACATATATATATACAACATGTGTGGGTTTGTACATGTATATATATATATATACACATTACATACACACATGCGTATTGGCATGCACGCATACATTCATGCATACATACATACATGCGTACATACATACATACATACATAGAACAGTATGTATGTATATGCACGAAATATGCGTGTATGTGCGTATGCATACGTGTATATGTCTATGTGTATATACAAATATACATGTACATATGTATTTGTGCTTTCTGTATATGCTTATGAATATGTGTCTATGTATATACACACATACACATATGGATATGAATATGTATATGTATATGTATATGTCGGTAAGTATACTTGTATGCGCATGTAGGTATGTATGTACGTATGAAACATGTATTTATGCATGTCCGTAACATATGTATGTGGGGTTGAGGTTCGTTCTATAGGGTTTAGGTCCTTAGGTTTATTGAAGGGTCCAGGGCTTGAACAAGGAAGCTTCTGAAGCTTCACCCCACCAAGTTAACCCGTATGGCCACTGCCAAAGCCCTAAACCGTAAACCCTGAACCCGAACCCTAATCCCCGAAGCACGGATGCAACCAATGGTGGGGACAGAGAGAAGCGGCTCTTGTGGCTCTGACTCATGAGCTCTTGTAGACCTCCGGTGATGATACATTCAGAGATGGCGCAGGAGTAGGTTTGGGGCCGGGCTTCTCGGATGTAGGATTTTGACGGGTAGAGTGATCGTGCGCTGGGCGGGGTCGCCAAAGGTTACGGCGCATGGTGCCCTAGCGACGACAAGCGGGACTAGCAGACTAGCAGCTTCGACTTGGTATGTCCCCAAGGCAGCATACTGAAGATTTCCAGTTGGGCAAGTGCCATACGAATACAGCCCCAACATCCCAGGAAAGCAAACTCTCGGACTTCCATAACCGTATTCGACTTTAGGATCCCAAGAAGGTGGAAAGTTGGGTACCGGCCGGGTACGGGAGACGATCAGGAACCACCACCGTGGCCGCTGCCGCCACCATCGCTCACCCCGAACCCCACACCCCAACAGCTCTAGCACTGCAACCGCAACCGCCGCCATGGTCGCCGTTGCTGCTTGCATCTCTGTCAAGGACCCTTGTCGTCGTCACCACCAGCGCAAGCAACAGCAGTTTTATTGTGACCGATGTGACTGATCCGACCATGTTTACAATCTTGGTAGTGCAAACTTGTACAAGTTTGGTAGTTGAACGCATCGCGAACATGTGCTGATGACCGAGTATTCGAGTGTTCCTTGTAGGTGTCGTTGAATCCTCGCGCCTAGCTTCTGCCTGCCCGACAACCGCTAGGTCCAACGCTGCACCCACTACAACACTGTCGACACTTCAGCCAGCCAGCAGATGGAGCAGTACCGAGGTTTTTGTTTCAGCAATTGCGGTCCAAGTTCACCTAAACCCCAAGCTCCAAAAACCTTAGTCGGCCTCCTAAACCCTAAACCCGAAAACCCTAAATCCTGAACCCTACAGACATCAGCCTGCCAATACCTCAAGCTCCGAAGGCTTCATAGCCCCCCCCCCCTCCCGCCGGCAAAAAGAAGCAACAAAGGCAACAGGGCAGTCCTCCATAGCCTTCTCGTATTTCTTCATCCTCGGGGTTTCTGGCTTGGGAAAAGGTGCAAGTAGTCCGGGAAAATAGAGGTCGCTTATTAATAGCCCACCCTGGAAGCAGTAATGTTGGGCTTATATAGGTGCGTCTGGGAAGTTATGAACATCAACAAACATTGTAAGTTAGGCGCTTTGGAGGTTTAGGGTCTTTTTGGACTCGAGAGTTTGAGACTTGTTTGGAGCTTCGGGCTTTCGGCCTGCCGGACTGACACACGCAATCACATATATATATATATATATATACATATATATACATATATATGTATATATATATATATATACACATATATATATATATATATATATGTATATACATATATATATATATATATATATATATATGTATGTATGTGTATGTATGTATACTATATATATATATATATATATATATGTATGTATGTATGTATGTATGTATGTATGTATGTATGTATGTGTGTATATATATATATATATATATATATATATATATGGACTGTGTTGGATTGTACTGATGTAATGAGGGGCCGCCCAGCAACAGCCGTTGGCCCCAAAATCTCCGAATGAGGAGCCGACACGGAGCACGCAAAGAGCCCAAAGTTCCTTATTGCTAAAGCTTTGTGGAAATAGATGTCTTCTTGGAGCGACCCTGTTGTGATTCCAAGCGTATTCCGTAACCAAGAGCTGTTAGGCTCTCCATTTCATGAACCCAAAACCCCAAACACCCAAAGCCCTAGACCCAAAACCCCGAACACCCTACAGTAAGCCGTAGACTCTAAACCCGAGGGCCGAAGCCCTTCGGAGAGAAACCAAGGCGGCCCAGCCGGTCAGCCGCAGGCTCTGCAAAATGCAGGGCTCCGACACTTACAACTCGCACAAGGAAGGCGAGGCTTCATGGGTTGAGGGTTTAAAGTTTAGTGCCCGGAACGGCCAGAGTAGGGTTCTGGAGTGTATTGTAGTATAACCGCAGGAGTGCTACGACTTATGCTGCTGACTTCTATACTAGTCATACTGACCCAATAGCATGTGTTCAACCTGCGCCAGCCTTCACTACTAGTTGCTTTCTTGCACTACAAGTTTGTCTTGGGCAAATCGTGAGATTATGTATATAGAAAAAAAGTGTTTGTTTGACGCGGCAGCCATGCTCGATGAGCAGCTAACCTAAACGACCATTGGCTTTCCCTTGAACCCCAACTTATCCCAACTCCTTAAGCGTTTGGCTTAACGTCGTGGGCTTCTCGCCCCTATCAGTCAGTTCCGTGATTACGAGCAGTACTTCTG